GATACTGGGGACTTTGGTGGTGGAAAATGTACACTGGTGGAGGGATAGGTGTTCGATCATTGTATGACTGAAACTCAATCATGAAAGCTTTGTAACTGTATCTCACAGTTTTAATAAAAAATTTAAAAAAAAATTTCAAGACATGTCACTGGACCCCGGCTAGCCTGAACCTCACACTGGGGCACCTCAGAGGGGGACAAGTAGAGAGATTCACCTCCCCTAACAGAACCCCTACAGTGGAAAGAATACTTCCAGAACTCTATCACTGCTCAAGGCCAATCTCCACAGGCTCAGATGAGCCTCATCTGTGAGTGCATCTGCTGAAAAACTCAGGCAGGCAGGTTTTGTGACCAAAATCTCCAGGCTTGCATGGCTTGGGAAAGGGCCACCTCCTCCCATCTCCCTGCACTTCCAGGAGCCTGGCAGTCAAACCCATGAACTTCCTCTGGTACCATATAAGCTCATTAATGGTCATGATCCAGTGACTCACAAATCTTGGTAGAGTGCAACAAGCTTCAGACATGCCTCTGGACTCCAAAGTCACCATCCAGGAGATGCATGCTGAAAGTATACACCGAATATGATTGCCACTCAATTCCTCTTTTGCAAACCACAGCACCCAAAAGGAGAGAACAAAAAGGAGTGCCCTTCCACAGAGGCAGGGTGGGATGGGGGATGGGGGGGTGGGAGCAATACTGGGATTAGTGGTGGTGGAGAACGGGCACTAGTGGAGGGATGGGTACTCGATTATTGTATAACTGAAACCCAAGCACAAAAATTTGTCTACAACTGTACCTCATGGTGTTTCACTAACAAAAATTTGTCTACAACTGTACCTCATGGTGTTTCACTAATAAAAATTTTTTTAAAGTTATTGTTCTTAGGGCTTAAAAAAAGATTATTGTTAATCTAACTTTCATTGATGCTTGATGGTATCATGTAATTGAATACTGTCAATCTAAGCTAAGCACAGTGATATGCATTACTTGGGCTTTGTCTTTTTCCCTCCCCTTGGACTGGATACTGATGTGTCCTAGAGGCCACATAGGACCTTTAAGTATGAAGTCACATCTTTCCGAATGGGGTACAGGTAATTGGAAAAAAAAAAGGTGACTTTACCTTTGGTAATGAGTCTAGTTTTATGAATTTTATCTCAGTAAAGTTATAGTTTTATTGGAAATTCTTCAAAAACCAAAATCAGAAACTTAAAACTTACAGATATGATTTTTCCTTGACACTGATTATGAATGTTGTTAGTACTTGCATTCATGTGCACTTGACCTTTTAAGAGAAGCAAAATAAATGAAGTTTAAAAGCAAAAAAAGTCACCATCCAGTTAAAACTTTAACTTCAGCTGTATCAACCTATTTAAAATTGTAGAATTTCTGGAGCACATCAACCATATGACATCTGTACTCCACTGATATACCAGGAGTGGCAGACTACATTCAATGGGGTGTAAAGCAGAAGGCAACTGATCTTCATTAAAAACTACATATAGTTTTTTTTATTAGCTTTTTTACTTTTTTTTTTTACTCTGCAATAACAATATTTATTTAAATTTTTATTAGTGAGACACCATGGGGTACAGCTGCAGACTTACAAATTTTTGTGCTTGGGTAGGAGAAAAGGGAACTCAGAGAAGGGAGCACCAAATAAAGGGTGTTGGGAGGATCCTCCCAGGATGGGAGAAGCACGCTGAAAGTAGACTATAGACCAAACATGATTGCCACTCATTGCCTCTTTTGCAAATCAGAACACCCCCCCCCCCCAAAAAAAGAAACCTATATATAGTTTTTTATATATAATTTATACACACTGGGCTGGAGCGATAGCACAGCGGTAGGGCGTTTGCCTTACACGCAGCCAACATGGCTGACCTGAATTCGATTCCTCCGCCCCTCTGGGAGAGCCCGGCAAGCTACCAAGTGTATCTTGCCCGCACAGAGAGCCTGGCAAGCTACCCGTGATGTGCCAAACACAGTAACAACAAAGTCTCCAATGGAGACGTTACTGGGCCCACTCAAGGAAACTGATGAACAATGGGAGGACAATGACAGTGACAATTTATACACACATATTAGCACACAAGGCTCAACCTGTAGCAGCATGTTAGTAAATCTCTTATACAAGGGCTTAATGTCTCCAGGCTGAGACAACAATCTTCACACAACTTTCTTCTAAGGAAACTTTGATCATTTGTAGCAGATTATTTATAACAAGCAATACAAAATATTTAGGGACTGCTACTGGGATAGGCTTGAGTGGTGGTGTGAAAATTTTGAAATATTGGTGGTGGGAAGCTGTAATACTGGTGGGATTGGTATTGGAATATTGAGTGTAATAAATTTATTGTGAACTTCATAAAAATATTTAAAAAAATAAAATTTTTCTCTTAGCTTTTTATTGGGCTGGAATGATAGCACAGGGGTAGGGCGTTTGTCTTGCACGCAGCCCACATGCTCAACCCGAGTTCGATTCCTCCGCCCCTCTCGGAGAACCCGGCAAGCTACTGAGAGTATCTCGCTGAATTGATGAACAACAGGAAGACAGTGACAGTGACAGCTTTGTATTAAAGCTGATTTCCAGGTATTTAATTTTCTGAGGTACAATTTGTCAAAGTTTGTCAAAGTAGGAATGAGATGTCATAATAAGATGTCGCGCGGCGCACCTACTGGAATTTGGAGGATCGGGGTGGAGGATGCTCGACTCCAATCCAAGTAGGCTTGGAGATCTCGGCCCCGGAACCCACGTGGCTTTGTCCCTCTGCCGCTACCTTCAGGTGTGCGGAGAGTGGTCTCAGCATGGTGGTGGCTGGTCCTGGAGGTCTTCGACTGCCGGGGCCCTGGCCAGGGCGGGGAGGAAAGCTCAACCCGCTCCCCTCCAAGGGGCCCCGGCGAGGAATAGCCAGGCGCGGAGGCAGGAGACTGCGCTCTTCTCCTCCAGGAGCTGGATTTTACAGTCTGTGACTCTTGGCCGCTGATGGGATTACACGGCGCGAGGGGGCCAGTTGGTGGGTGTGACCCCCGCCTACTGGAATTTGGAGGATCTGGGTGGAGGATGCTCAACTCCAATCCGAGTAGGCTTGGAGATCTCGGCCCCGGAACCCACGTGACTTTGTCCCTCTGCCGGTACCTTCAGGTGTGCGGAGAGTAGTCTCAGCATGGTGGTGGCTGGTCCTGGAGGTCTTCGGCTGCCGGGGCGCTGGCCAGGGCAGAGAGGAAAGCTCAACCCGCTCCCCTCCAAGGGGCCCTGGCGAGAAATAGAAAGAAATAGAATGGCGAGAAATAGAAATTTCTTTCCCTTCTTTTTCATGATTTTCATGTTTCAAGATCTAGAAAAGCCAGATTTCTGTGCATTGATTTTGTAGCCTGCCACTTCACTGTAAAAGTCTATTATTTCTAGAAATTTTTGTTTTGTTTTAGAGTCCTTAGGGTTTTCTAAGTATCATGTCATCTATGGATAATGAGCTTTACTTATTTTCTGATCTGCAAGCCATTTACATCTTTCTTGCCTGATTCTTATGAGCAGGACTTCTGATTATTGAATAGTAGTGGGCAATCTTATTTTATGCTTGATCTTAGAAGAAATGCTTTCATATTTTTGCCATTAATTACAGTGTTTGCTATGGGCTTTTGCTAAATTGATATAACTATGTCAAGGAAAGTTTCCTCAACTATCATTATATTGGGAGTTTTAATCATGAATTGATATTGGGGCTTCTTAAATGCTTTCTCTTCATCTACTGATATACTATTTTTATTTTTCCTGGTATTTATATGGCATACTGATTTACTTGCATATAAGTCAGCCTTGATAATAAATTCGACTTGATCATAGTATATGATTTCTTTTTATTGTTGGTTTCCATTTGCTAATATTTTGTTGATGGTCTTTGCATCAAGGATATAGATTTATGGTTTTCCTCTTTTGGTGATATCTCTGCTTTTTGTATCAGAAAAATGTTTGCCTCATGGAAATTGTAAGAATTCTTGTTTCTTCAACTTTCCGAATGAGTCTTAAAATGATTTTATGGATGTCTTATAAATGTTTGGAAGAACTCACTAATAAACACATCTGGTACTAGGGAAAACTTTTTTCCCCACACTGAACAGTTCTCAAGTCTTATTCCTGTCTCTGTGCTCAGAGTGGTGCTTTGGCATCCATATATGGTGCTGGCAGTTAAACCTGGGTGGGGAATATTCAATGTATTAATTTACTTTGGTTTGAGGGCCACACTCAGTGGTGCTCAGAGTTACTCCTGACTCTGCACTCAGGTATCATCACTCCCGCCAGATCTTGTGGGACCATATTGGGTGCATTGGATCAAACCAGTATACCTGCCTGCCAGGCAAGCACCCTACCTGTTGTACTATTTCTCCGGCTCCTGGGGAGACTTTTGATTGCTGTTTCGATTTCTTTAATTGGCCTGTTCAGGTGCTGTTTCTTCTTGATCAAACCTTGGGAGGTTGTGTAAGTCCAACATTTATCTATTTCTTCTAGATTCTCCTTCCAATTTCATGACACAATGGCTTTCAAAGAAGATCCTTGAAATTCTGTGGTATCTGTTGTGACTCCTCCCCTTTCATTTCTGATGGTTTACTAAGGTTTTCTTTCTTTGTGAGTCTTGCTAATGGTTTGTCAAACTTGTTAATTCTTTACAGAACCAGCTCTTGGTTTCACTGATCATTTTTTGTTTTGTTTTGATTTCATTAATTTCTGTTCTCAGTTTTATTATTTCTTACCTTCTGCTTGCATTGGGTTACTTTCTGTTGATTTTGTTCTAGCTGTTTAAGCTGTGCAGTAGGGTTTATGTAGTCTCTTTCTTGCTTCCTAATGCGTGCTTGCACTGCTATGCATTTTTTTCTTTACACAATATGATCCTAATTCATCCATTTACCTGAAGTGAAAAAGGCAAACTTCTACATAGTTCCTAGTAGGGAGAAGGAACACCAAAACACTGGATGGAGACAAAATCTACAACTGGGACAGACACAAGAAACTCTGCAATTATTTTATTTAATTCACTTCATTACGAGTCAATTTTCGGGGCTCTATTACAATTCTTATTACATTAAAAAAATAAACTTAAAAAGTACTCTAAAAATTATTGTAAAATACAGTAACATTACATTAATCCAAAGAGCTTTCCACATATGCAAGTTACAACATTTAAAGTCTTTCATTTTTTCATTCTTTGGAGCCAAAAGACATTCTACATGGAGCTAAAGACATGTCACATGTCTATAATGCAGTCTTAAGCAGTGTATCTTTTCTCTCCTTCGTGTTTCGCCTTATGGTACTTCATGTAATCATTGTAGAGCTCCTTAAAGACATCTCTCATTCCTGGATGCAGTGAAACTCGTAAGAACTGGATGTCACGCTCAAGGCAGAGGTCCAAGATTAGATAAATGCCTTCCTGCAGAAGATTTTTCACCGCTGGATACAAGGTAACCTTGGGAAGGAAGATACATCTTTGTAAGAGTAAACGGGCTACTATAGGAAGCTCTGGTAAGATTTAAAAGGAAATTTTAATTTCTACTCCAACCTGAGAAAACACATCCTTTAAAAAAAAATCATGCTGCAAAAGAGAGGAAAAAAAAAAGTGCCTGCCATAGAGGCAGGCTGGGTGGTAGGCAAGTGTCAGGAGGAAAACTGGGGACATTGGTGGTGGGAAATGTACACTGGTGAAGGGATGGGTGTTGGGACATTATATGAATATGCACGTTCATGAAACCAACTCATGAACAATTTTGTAACTATGTATCTCACAGTAATTCAATTAGAAAAAATAATAAGGGGAAAAATCATGCAGCTTGCTCTTCAAGCCCATGTTCTCCCTTGAACATGTATCTCAGTTGGTTGTTTCTATGTTTCTTTGCTTGTCTGTTCTGATTCTGGAACAGCCTGTGTTCTCGCTTGAACACACACCTTTAGCTTTCTCTCTCCTCACATCTTTCTAAAGAAGTTTCAATATAAACTATCTTGCAACACCTAAATCATGTTGAACATCACCTTAATTTCCAGTTTAAATTTTGTTTTGTTTTGTTTTTTTTGGGAGGAGTGTGTGGGGTGGGGGGGTGTATATTTGGCCACACCCAGTAATACTAAGGATACTCCTGACTTTGCACTCAAGAATCACTCCTGGCAAGCTTGGGAGACATGGGGTGCTGGGGATCAAACCCTGGTTGGCTACTAATAAGGCTAGCTCCCTCCCCACTGTACAATTGCTTGGCCCTAAATTTTTTCTGAGGGAAATAGAAGCCACTCATGCAAACAAAAACCTGGAATTAAGCATCATATGGATACGTTTCAACAAATGATTCTATGTATTTGCTAATATGGCACTTTAAAGACAAGTCTTTAGATTTAAAAAACCTTGTAGCATGAGTCACCTGCATATTAAATTTTTCCACATGTCTGATCAGGTTGAAGCTATACTAACTATGGGATAATGGCACCAACAGTTACAACATTATAAATGTAATACAGTCCACTATACCCTTTTCCATTCCAAGCAAAAGAGACAGGCAGGTAGACTTTGATACTCTCCAAACAGATCGCTGATTACTAAATTATCAGTTAGATCTCATCAGCCATCATTAATGTGATTTATGATAACCAATTAATAATTTTATTTCTGTTGACAATAGCACATAGGTTGTATATTCTCAAATAACCTAGAATGGTTGAACTGGACCCTAAGCATTCCCTCCCTAATACTCTAGTTTTGACTGAAACTGGCAGTCCACTTTTTAACAGAGTAGGCAGTCCACCTCAAACCAGGCTATATTAGGGTTTGGGGAAGTTTTGTTTTTCAGGGTATTCTATATGTGTGTGAACCAAGATAGTTTTTATTGAAGCTTAAAGATGTGAGAGGAGAGAAAGAGAAGTACTTCTACTCAGGTTTCAGCAGAAGCTGGTACTTCAGTGCAAACTCTGAATACCCCAGCAGCTGAAATATAAAAGCAGTAGGAAGGTGATAGCTGACAGATCTGGGCTAATTCTTTATTAATGTCCTGATGACCTGGAAGTATTAATGTCTCTCTAAAGTTTCTAGTGAAGATATATTTCATTAACTAGAAGTCTGATGCTCCAAGAGGATTACTGAGAGTTATGCTTCTAAAGAAGAGATTTGCTTCTGTCCGTACAATGTTGCTCTAATTTCAACTGCAAATCATTAGGGAACAAGAGGTAAGAAAAATAAAATACAAGAACAATCCTTAATTTCACTAGGAGGTAAGGAATTTTTAAGTTGATTGCTATTTACTCAATCATCAATCACCAAACAAATAATTTCAGTGCCAAAGATAAAAAGAAAATTTTAATTGCATGACTGAGATCTGAACGTAGGCAGTCTAAAGCAGAATCCAGAACCCACATTCTTCACAATTTCTTCCCATGGCATCTTGTATATGGAAGAACAACCCAGAGCACAGAGTTCTGTTGAGAATGAAGGCCAGTAGTATTGACCACATACTCAAGGCCAGGGAATAGCACAATAAACTACAGTTTATGCTTTGCATGCAGGAGGCCTGGGTTTAATCCCCAGCACCACACATACTCTCAAGCCCCTGAACACTGAGTAGCCCCTGAACACTGCACTGAGAATGGCCAAAAATGGAAGCAAAGAATACACAACCAATTCCCATCTTTATGTCTAAAAGATAAAGATGGGGAACAAAAAAGAAACAAGGGCAAGAGAGATGGCACAGGGGTTAAAGCATCTGCTTACACGTGGTCAAACCCAGCACTGCTGGATGGGGGTAGGGTGCGATAAACAGTTAATTTCTGCAACATAAGCAGGGTAAGAGTACTCCGAGTTACCAAAACTAAGGGACAGTTGTAAATTTGATCTACAGGCAAAAAAAGGTTAACAGGAGTCATCATTCTCATAATACACATTCCTCATGACACATTATTGCATGGTGAAGACAGGAACCATAGCCTCTCTTCACAAACGCTGTCCAATGCCCCACTCCTCAAAAACAGTAGGGGGGAATGCAAAGGAAATTAAGTTACACTTGCTATCTAGCACTTAAAATTAAAGGAGCTGAAGTGATAGTACAGCAGATAGGGCATCTGCCTTGCACAAGGCCAACATGGGTTCTTCGGCATCCCATGTGATCCTCCAAGCACTGCCAGGAGCACCTCCTAAGTACAGAGCCAGGAGTAAACCCTGAGCATCACTGGGTGTGACCCCAGAACAAATAAACATAAACAAAATTTTAAATAACTTTCTGGTCTAAAGAGATTTATGGGTTTCTCAGTGGAATCCCCTAATGCAAATGGACTATTTTCTTTCTTGCCAAATTAAGAATAAATGAATAAAATATAATACTGTCCTGCCAATGGATTCTGGGATACCACAGCTGCTTTAAATGATTACCCAGAACTCTGGCTTTCAAGAGTAAAAAGTCTTATAAACACACAGCCTTATGGAATTTTGAATCTAGCATACTGACATTCCATAATAAAATGACTATTAACTATTGGACTATCCAAAAGTTAGATTAACAGGGACAAGCATTTTGTTTAACCTAGCTAACAAACTTATCAGTATCTCTATGCCATCTACTTTGAGTGCCTGAGGTAGATTAAAAAGGGGCCTCAAAAGTCGTTAAAAAATTCCCAAAGTTCAGAAACCCCAAAACCCTTCTTTCCAATAAGCCTAGTTCACTGGAAGCTCCTGTTATTGGACCTGGGTAATATCTCATCTCAATTACTACTAATGAGGTAAAGTTAAAGGTAAAGGCCCTCCCGTTGATCGTCGATTTGCTCGAGCGGGCCCAGTAACGTCTCCATTGGAGACTTTGTTGTTACTGTGTTTGGCATATCAAATATGTCACGGGGAGCTTGCCAGGCCCTGCCGTGCGGGCGAGATACTCTCGGTAGCTTGCCGGGCTCTCCGAGAGGGGCGGAGGAATCGAACTCGGGTCGGCCATGTTGGCCGCATGTAAGGCGAACGCCCTACCCGCTGTGCTATCGCTCCAGCCCACTACTAATGAAATGAACCAAAATAGTCCCAGGAATTTTGTGCTTGAATATGAAAAGATAAGTTACTGGGCAGCTCCTATAGACCAACCAGGCCTGCAGCCCTTTGAACATCACTTGGTTTATTTCTCTCAGGGTTAACTAGAAACACCAGATGTCCCAGCAGCCCATCATCACAGTGAACAAATGATAATGGATAAAGAGGCACTGGGTTAAGAAGTCCTGCTACAAGCAACAATAAATGAAAGCAATAGGGAAGACAGTTCTGTTTACCTTCTGCACCTCAGTCAAATACTGGGCCACCATGAATGGGGAGAACACTGTGAACTCTTCGGTTTGAGCTGCAATATGGCTGTACATCCTTTCCACCAAGCGGGCACACTCTAGGATCACTGGCAGGTCATCAGTGCCTCCTGCAGAAGAAGTCTGTTTATTAGTGCAAGTCCCGTACATTTTAAGTATAAGTCTCTGTTTCTGTCAAACCATCTACTTTACTCAGAAAGTCTTGAACAGTCAGGGGGAGTTATGTCCTTATATTTTTGTCAATAACAAAGGGGAAGAAACTTAAATATTGAAGAGTCCATGGGTTTTTTTTTTTTAAAAAGTCTAACTCTAATAATTTTGGGCTGGGGGGGAGTCATAATCTGGCTGCTCTCAGGGAACACTTCCGGCAGTATTTGGGGTACCATATGTGGAGCTGGGAACAAACCTGGGTCAGCACTTGCAAGGCAGATGCTCTATTCAGTGTACTATCACCCTGCTCTCCTAATTATAATAATTTTAAGGAAAAACTATAGGATTACTATTTTTAAGGGATGCTTTAACATGGAAAAATAAATACATATTATCTTTAAAGCATAGTAATTTTGGGGGGCTAGAGAGATAGCACAGTGGGTAGGGTGTTTGCCTTACACGTGGCCGACCCGGGTTCGATTCCCAGCATCCCATATGGTCCCCTGAGCACCGCCAGGAGTAATTCCTGAATGCAGAGCCAGGAGTAACCCCTGTGCACCGCCAGGTGTGACCCAAAAAGCCAAAAAAAAAAAAAAAGGATAGTAATTTTTAAAATACAACCAATTTTGGGTCAGGGAAGAAAGCTCAAAGGGCTAGAGACCATGATGTGTATACACTGAACCTGCTACACACAACCCCCAAGACTAGACCTCAACCACTGTACCCACCCCCGAAAAACATCAGATTTTAAAAATAAAATACTGTTTTTGATCCTCAAGTTCCAAAATTGCATAGGATCTTTTTCTCTAACAGGCTGATACAGATGACTTAGTTATAATTTTAAACCCTCTATCTTCCCAGATTTATTTCTGACTCCTAGTTCTTTCCATCTTAAGAGGTCAGGACCACCCAGGGATTTTTAACTCCACTCAAGAATTCTAACCAGGGACTGGAGCAATAGCACAGTGGGTAGGGAGTTTGCCCTGCACACGGTGGACCCGGGTTTGATTCCCAGCATCCCATATGGTCCCCCGAGCACTGCCAGGAGTAATTCCTGAGTGCATGAGCCAGGAATAACCCCTGTGCATTGAATTCTAACCACGTGGGGCCAGAGTGGTAGTACTGGTAGGGCACTTGCCTTGCGTGGCAGTTGACCCAGGTTTGATCCTGGCATCATATAGGTTCCCTGGCATCATATATGTTTCCCCCAAGCATCGCCATGAGTGGCTCCTGTGTGCAGATCCAGAAGTTAGCCCTGGGTCAACCAACAGGGTTGACCCCAAAACAAATGAAAAAAAAAAAAAATTCTAACCACCTGAAATATATGCACAGCCTAGGTCCCACCTGTCTTGCTAGAGTTCACAACAGAACCTGGTAGTAAAATGCACAAATGCCAGAAAGTCTTTCCCTACTGGTTCACAACTTAGTACAGTGATAGAACTACTTTTATTAAAATATTAAGAGGACTGTTTCACATAGGGTGCTGTGGATGGGTGCAGATGAGACCTCCTTGGCGCCCCTAGGGACCCAACCCCGGCAGCTGAAAACCTCCAGAACTCAACTGCTGCCATGCTCACGGCTGCTCTCCACATGCTCAGGCCGACCCTCACCCACAAGTGAACCTATTCCTGGACCGCGTGGCTGCGACACTTCATACCACACACCCCACCCATACTCCAAGATTATCAAACTATATTTGATGGGATTCAAAGTAGGAGGCAACCAATCTTAGAGGGAAACACACACACACACACACACACACACACACACACACAAGCACACAAAGGCTCAAATTTTAACAACAGTTAAAATTATAGATCTCTTATAGAAGGGCTTAATGGCCTCTGGGTGAAATACAACGATCTTCACACCCTTTCCCCTAAGGAAACTTTCTGGGACCATTTTCAGTGGGTTTTCATAACAAACAATATAAAATATAATATTTCGGTTCTACTTTGGGGCTCGGGATGAAAACATCCAAAATATGGTGGTGGGAAGGTATAATGGTGGTGGGATTGGTATTTGAATATAAAATGCGATCAAATATTATGAACTGTCGCACTGTCTTCCCGTTGTTCATTGATTTGCTTGAGCAGGCCTAGTAACATCTCCATTGTGAGACCTGTTACTGTGTTTGGCATATCAAATACGTCACAGGTAGCTTGCCAGGCTCTCTGAGAGGGGCGGAGGAATCGAACCCGGGTTGGCCGCGTGTGAGGTAAACGCCCTACTCACTGGGCTATCGCTCCAGCTCATTGTGAACTACTTTTTAAATTTAAAAAGTTAAAAAATATTAAAGGACAAATACAGACACTAAAAGCAGATAAATGCTGGGGCTGGGGCTAGAAGGGCAAATGAACTATAGAAGTTTCTTTAGTAAAGTAAAGTAAAGTAAAGGCCCTCCCGTTGATCGTCGATTTGCTCGAGCGGGCCCAGTAACGTCTCCATTGGAGACTTTGTTGTTACTGTGTCTGGCATATCGAATACTCTCGGTAGCTTGCCGGGCTCTCCGAGAGGGGCGGAGGAATCGAACTCGGGTCGGCCATGTTGGCCGCATGCAAGGCAGACGCCCTACCCGCTGTGCTATCGCTCCAGCTCCAGTACCTGCTTTTCTATTTCCCCTACATCCTTTTGATATTTTACTATAGAGCAATAGTCTTTGGTTAAACACAGAAAGACCATAAATGCTATGCTCCTAATAATTGGGAGTTGACTGACTCTGAACCATATCTACTCCTGGGCATGATTACTTGGTCATAATTACTTGACTCAGGCTTCAGTTGCTATCGATCCTAACACCCCAAAAGGGAGATCTCAACATGGGACTGGGATAGACCCAGAGCAACTGGCAAAAGCTACCCCGGCAACAAAATGAGACAGTCTAGAAAGCAAAAATGCAAGCTGTTATGACTTAAGAGACAGGATCCCCATAATGAAGGACAAGTTGAACTGGCCTGAGAACTTAGTCTGGGATTTACAGTAAAAGCCTTGCTTGCTCTCAGAGCCCAGAGAACTAAGTGTTGGGATCTTCATCTCTGTGTTTATTCACACTACTGCAAGTACTGATAACTTATACAACTAGAGGGAAAGATAAAAGCAATATAAATGTCCCTAGGAGACAGAGTATCTCCTTGCTTTAATCTCCACAAAAGAGAATTTCCTATGTTTTATCTATGTAAGTTTCCAAATATCTTACCTATGTAAATGATCAATCACACCTACTTTCTTACCTCAACCCCTGCCTCAGATGTTCTATAAGTATGCTAGCAGCTCTGCATTAAATGGGCCATTTTCACCACCAGGCTGTGGTTCCCCATTCTGTCTCTCTGCTGGGGAGGCCTGGGGAGGACAGGAGACATGTCAGGGCCCACCAAACACACAAGCATCACAGCATCAGCATTCACTCTTATTTTGTGAACTCACAGTATAGTATGGGCTAGAGTGACAGCACAGCGGGTAGGGCGTTTGCCTTGCACCCAGTCGACCCGGGTTCGATTCCTCCATCCATCTAGGAGAGCCCAGCAAGCTACCGAGGGTATCCTGCCCGCAGAGCAGAGCCTGGCAAGCTCCCTGTGGCGTATTCGATATGCCAAAAACAGTAACAAGTCTCACAATGGAGACGTTACCGGTGCCTGCTCGAACACAATGAAAGGACAGTGCTACAGTACAGTATTCAAGGCACTTGCCTTACATGCAGCCAACCACAGTTCGATCCCAAGCACCATACCACATATGGTCCTCCAAGCCCTGCCAGGAGAGATCTTTGAGCAGAGTCAGGAGTAAGCCCTGCAATGCAAGGTCCTTAACCCCTACACTATTTCTTCAGTCCCCACCATGTCTTTCATAAAACTTTTAATGTGTCTTACGTACATAATATACATCCATAGAATTTTATGAAATTACGTAAATTAAACACTAAACTTAGGCTGGACTGTACAGTACTTGCCTTGCATGCAACTAACCTAGTTTGATCTTTGATCCCATCACTCCATATGGTTGCCCCAACATTGCCAGATCCCTGGACAGAGACTCAGGAGTAAACACCTCAGCACTACCAGGTGTGGCCCAAAATGAGAGAGAGAAAAAAAGTAAAAAGTGAATAAAATTAAGAATCCACTGAAAACAGGCCATATACTTTATAATCAACTTTCATATCCAATATGAAACATTTCTTCTCTCTCAAGACTATTAAACATGTGCATACATTTCAAAAATTACCTGGCTTTTATTACTAAAGCCACAAGTTTAATAAAGGTCACTAAAGAGCACATTAGATTATCAACAAATAGTTAAAACTTTACATCAGACAATCAAGTCTTGGCACACACAACACAGATCTACAAACAAAGAATGTGCTCTGTGTTCCCATGACTCCCTCAGAACACATGGCAAAGGACATGCATTAACAACTAACCATCAGGTGTGTGACCAGGACTCAGCTCCATGAATGCTCTGAGTCCTAGGCCAGTCCTCCCCTATACTGCCCTTCTCATCTCCTATTTAGATAGTCAGAAGATAGATTCCTTCTTGTAGAGGCCCCAGAGGAAAATAGGTTACCACCCACCAAATAAATGAAGCTGATTCAGGATGAGATGTATTCTGCTGCTCAATGCTCCTAAAAGTATTGATATACTACACTGACCTATTCTCTGCATCAGGAATGTGAGAAGTGAATACCTATTTCTGCCACTGACTTATCCCCAAACAAGGCAAAATAATTTCATAATATACCTTAATGCTAACTATACCTTTTCTCTTTGCTCAAATGTTAATTCATTCAAGTAGCTATGACTTAAATCTACACGTTTTGATCTATAAAACCTATGCTCTGTACTGGAGATAATTCCTGATGATGCTTTGGTATAAAACCAGGATCTGTCACATGCAAGGCAAGTGCCTTAGCCCCCATGGTATCTATCCGGTCCCAAAAGAATGACTTTTACATCTCCTTGATTGTACGTATGTTCCTAGAAAAATTAGGAGATGTAAAATGCATTCATTTTTTGTGAATAAAAAGAAAACTACTGGGGCCTAGAGCGACAGCACAGTGGGTAGGGCGTTTACCTTGCATGCGACCAACCCAGGTTTGATTCCCAGCATCCCATATGGTCCCTCCAGTACGCCAGGAGTTACCCCTGTGCAATGCAGGGTTTGACACGAAAAGCAAAAAAAAAAAAAAAAACCAAAAAAAACAAAAAAAAAACAAAAGTTGTTTCAGTATCCATTACTCACTGAATATTATCTTAGTATTTCCCTTACTTATAAATGGTTTAAATTTTCAGTAAATATGTGGCCAGAGTCACATGGTCAAGATACTTGAAACTGTACATCTATTACCATAAATGATTTACCTTTGTCTTTCTGTCGTCCTTCATGAATAACCGAAAAAACCAATCTATTAAAACAATTTAAGAAAGAAGGGATGGCTTTCAGCATTACCTGTAATAGTAGAAAAAAGCATATTTAAAAAACGTAATTGCTTCAACAACTTTTACTTTATAAGTTACCCAAAGTTAAATGAAGTGTATCTTCTCACCTCCTCCTTCATACACAAGAGCAGCCTTAAGGTGTGATCCAGGGCTCCTGCACACAAAGCAGTAACTTTTTTTTTTTTTTAGCTTTGACCCATACCCAGCAGTGCTTAAGGTTTACTCCTGGACCAGTCGGCTTCCATTTAGGATACGTACCTTAATCCTGTACTATCTCTCCCGTCCTCCCTCAGTTTCATTTTTATCAAAAACTGATGGACTTCACTGCCAGCTTTCAGAGGTGGGTGGTAAACATCCCAGGACCTCCTTCCCTGTACGAACATAGATTTGGACCCCATGCAGCTTCTCAGATTGTGTGAGAGTTGGCAGATGGTACCTAAGGTATGATTTCCCTTCCTAGATATACTCAAAGGAACCCAACGCTCCTCATCCCTGAGCCACTATGGAATTCCTTTCCTGAAACCATGTGGGAGCAAACTCCTATCATATACCTGCTGGAAAATCATAGAAGCTCACTGCCACTCAGGCTACCCCATGATTGCCCCCAATTAAATCACAGGAACCCCTGCTGTTCACCTCTTCTTGGCACTGCTGACTCCTATTACCTCTCATTCAGCCACCCACAGAGGCAACCTTAGATTCTAGGCGGGATGGGGGATGGAATCAGCTGGCTGGACCATGTGTCTTTGCCTGCAGGTAGAGGTGCCACCTCCATCACCGTTGATCGAAGAGGTCAGAAATTCCTTCCCCCTATCTCTCCTACCTCTGCTTCTTCAAGCCTCTGTAGCTGGGCTTTTGTATTCTGAGGTACAATGCCCAGAGTTAAGCACTTTATGCACTTATATCCAGGAGGCCCAAAGAGTCCCAGGCAGATACTCTAAATAGACCCAAACAGAAAAATTCCAAACATGCTATAATAACAAAATCCAAAAACAGAGACAGAATATTGAAAGCAGCAAGATCAAAACAGGAAAAGTCCATAAATGAGACTCTAAGACCCAGAAGAAAATGGTGGAATACAGTTTATAAAATCACTGAAACAAACACCTCTCCAAGAATACGCTATCCAGCTAGATTATCATTCGACTTAGAAGAGCTTCATGGGAAGCAACAGCTTAGGAAATTCAATGCCTTGAAACCAGTTTTGCAAAAAGCATTAAACAAGTCAGAGAGGCTTGAGCTAGCACAGTGGGTAGGATGTTTGCCTTGCACGCGGCCGGCCCGGGTTTGATTCCCAGCATCCCATATGGTTCCCTGTGCACCGCCAGGAGTAATTCCTGAGTGCAGAACCAGGAGTAACCCCTGTGCAATGCCAGGTGTGACCCAAAAAGAAAAAAAGAAAAAGAAGAAAAAACCAAGTCAGAGATACAGAGAGAGCACAGTGGGCAGGGTACTTGCCCTGCATACAACTGACCTGAGCTCAGTTTCGTCCCCCACGTTCCACCAAAAGTGATCCCTGAGTGCAGTGCTAGGAGTAAGCCCTGAGAACTGCCAGGTATGGTGGAATATAGTTTAAAAACTCAAAGAAACGAACACCTCTCCCAGAATACTCTATCCAGCTAGATTATCATTCAACCCCCCCCCCCCCAAAAAACCCCACACATAATATATCTTTTTAAATAACATTATATATTTTAAAAACAAAAAAATATATATTTAGAACAAATAAGAGACAGGACAAACTTGCCTTGAACACCACCAGGTTTGATCCCCAGCAGGAATGACTCCTAAGCACAGAGCTGGGAATGAGCTCTGAGTTCTAGCAGGTGTTACCTCTAACAAGAAATTTATTAGAACAAAATTATTCTAATAAAATTACTTGCCAGAACAAAAAAGAGCATTCAAAAAAATTTGCATACCTCTAAAAAAATTTACTTTATCAACTTTTTCACAATTCTGTGGAATTTTAGGAAATTAGCTCTTTCTATATGTGTGCAAGCACGACCACTTTTACAGTAAGAAAAAAGATCTCTCTCATATGTAGGATAAAAAGAAAAACAGTAACGGAACACCAAAAGGCCCAAGTCATCAGGCTTGAAAGACTAAAACTGAGCTTACATGTGAGTCGGGAAGACTGGGAGGGGGCAGATAATCCCATCATCGGCCACCATCCAGATTGCATGGCTTTCTCTACCAGAAGGGCGCAACATGACCCTGCCATAGCCATACCACTGGACCCCGCCCAGGCTGCTTCACTCAGGGTGCCCAAGAGGGGGGAGAGTGAGAGCCCTCCCTGCCCCTAGGGACCCAGCCCGAGCAGCCGAAAACCTCCACAACTCAACCACTGCCATGTTCAAGGCTGTTCCTCACCTGCTCGGGCCGAGCCTCAGGAGTGAATTTATTCCTGGATTGCAAATGCGGCCACACCACACATCATAAGACACTCCCTACCCATTCTCCAAGAGTACCACACCACATCTGGTGGGGTTCATATAGTAGGCAATCAATCATTGAGGAAAATATATACAGATATATTTTTTCAGATATATATACGAAAGTTCATATCACTCAACCTTTAACAACATATTAGTAATATTAGTAAGTGCAGTCTTCTGCCCCCGCGCCTGACTGTCCTCGCTCGCCGGGACCCCTTGGAGGGGAGCCGGTTGAGCTTTCCTCCCCACCCCGACCAGGGCACCCGCAGCCAAAGACCTCTAGGACCAGCCACCACCATGCTGAGACCACTCTCCGCACACATGAAGGTACTGGCAGAGGGACAAAGTCACGCGGGTTCCGGGGCTGAGATCTCCAAGCCTACTCGGATTTGGGCCGAGCATCCTCCACCCAGATCCTCCAAATTCCAGTAGGCGGGGGTCACACCCACCAACTGGCCCCCTGGCGCCGTGTAATCCCATCAGCGGCCAAGACTCAGAGACTATAAAAACCAGCTCCTGGACATCTTATTATTGACATCTTATTATCTCATTCCTACTTTGGACAAACTGGCAGGCTACCGAATGTAGCCTGCCCACATGGCAGAGTCTGGCAAACTTTCCGTGGCGTACCCAATATGCCAAATACCAGTAACAATGATGGGTCTCATTCTCCTAAAGAGCCTTGAATATAATCTCAGGGCTAGGATGAAAGAGACGTTACTGGGGCCTGCTCGAGAGAATCGACAAATAACAGGATGATTTGTGATTTGTGATTTGATATACGAAAGTTCACATCACTCAACCTTTAACAACATATTAGTAATATCCTATAGAAGGTCTTAATGGCCCATGACAAAATAGAACAATCTTCACACTGTTTCCTCTACAGACACTTTTCTGTTGCATTTTCAGCCGTTTCTCATAACAAACAATACAAAATATATTATTTCGGTTGTGCTTTGGAACAAGGATTGGGGCTTGGGATAGAAAAATCCCAAATATGGTGGCGGGAAGATGTAATGGTGGTGGGATTGGTGTTTGAATATTACATCAAATATTGTGAATTACCTTATAAAACAAAAAAATTAAAAAAAAAATAATGGTTCTGGCGAAACTGCACAGCTACATGCAAAAAATGGGTTCAGACCTCTATGTAACAGCATGCACAAAAGTCAGATCAAAATAGATTAAAGACCACATTATCAGACCACAATCCATAAGGCAAATGGAAGAAAAGGTTGGCAAAACCCTCCACAATACTGAAGCTAAAGGTATCTTCAAAGATGAAATGCTACTGACCAAGCAAAGGGAAACAGATATAAACAAATAGGGCTATCTTAAACTGAGAAGCTTCTGCACCTCAAAAGAAACAGTGACCAGGATCAAAGACAGCCTACAGACCAGGAAAGGATATTCACCCCATACCCTTCTGATAAGGAGTTAATATCAAGGATACACAAGACACTGGTTGAACTCTACAAAAAAAAAAAAAAAAATCAAATCAGAAAATGGGGCAATGAATTAAACAGAAACTTTTTCAAGGAAGAATTCTGAATGGCCAAAAGGCTCATGAAAAACTGCTCTTCTTCTGGGGCTGGAGTGATAGCACAGCGGGTAGGGCGTTTGCCTTGCATGCAGCCTACCCAGATTCGAATCTCAGCATCCCATAAGGTCCCCTGAGCACCACCAGGAGTAATTCCTGAGCAACACCGGGAGTGACCCAAAAAATGGGGGGAAAATGCTCTTCATCACTAATAATCAGGGAGATGTAGATCAAAACAAAAATGAGATATCATCTCACACCACAAAAACCAGCACACATTCAAAAGAAAAAAATCATCCGGTGTTGGCATGGATGAGGGGAGAGGGAGGCTCTCCTTAACTGCTGGTGGAAAACAATATGGACGTTTCTCAAAATACTAGAAATTGAGCTCCCATTTGACCCAGCAATGCCACTTCTGGGAATATATCCAAGGGATGCAAAAAAAGCACAGAAGAAATAACATCTGCACCTGTACATTCATTACAGCACTGTTTACAATAGCCAGAATCTGGAAAAAACCTGAGTGCCCGAGAACAGACGAGTGGTTAAAGAACTTTGCTACACCTACACAATGGGATAGTATGCAGTTATTAGGAAAGATGAAGTCATGATTATAAGAGGATGGTCATGGAGATTATCATGCTGAGTAAAATGAGTAAGAAAGAAAGGGAGACATAGAATAATTGAACTCATTTAAATCTCCAAGCCTGCTCGGATTGGGACTGCTCGGATTGGGATCCTCCACCCAGATCCCCCACCTTCTAGTATGTAGTTGCTACACCCACCAACTGCCCCCGGTGCCATGCAATCCCATCAACGGCCAAGACCCAGAGACTATAAAACCCTGCTCCAGGAAGCGCGCGGCCGCATTTGCGGCCACACAACATCTTATTAACTAGTTGTTACTCTGGACAGCCTGGCAGACTACCAAAAGTGTCTTGCCCACACGACAGAGTCTAGCAAACTTCTCGTGGTGTATTCAATATGCCAAAAACCAGCAACAATGATGGGCCTCATTCTCCTGACCCTAAAAGAGACTCGAATGTGGCACTTTTTAAAATCTCAGGTCTAGGACAAAGGAGACGTTACTGGGGCCTGCTCGAGGCATCGATGAACAACAGGATGACAGTGACAGTGACAGTGATTTGTGGAATATAAAATATCATGAAACTAACACCCAAGGACTGTAAGGGCCAGGAAGACTGTTCTACAGTTGGAAGCCTGCCTTATGAGGTGGGGGAGAAGGCAGCTAGGATAGAGATGGGATCGCTAAATCAATTATGGTTAGAGAAATTGCTCGGGATGGGAGATACGTGCTGAAAGTAGATAAAGGACCAAACATGATGGCCTCTCATTATCTGTATTTCAAACCATAATACCCATAAGTAGAGAAAGAGAAAGAGGGAAACTGTCTGTCACAGAGGTTGGGGAAAGGGTGGGATAGGGGTGGGGGGGAGGAAGGGATACTAGGGACATTGGTAGTGAAAAATGTACACTGGAGGATGCGTCGGTGTTTGATCATTGTATGACTGAAACTCAAACATGAAAGTTTTGCAACTATAGCTCTAAGTGATTTAATTAAAAAAAAATTTCAAATATTTGATGGTGCCTGTTTATTTGTCCTATTTATATATTCTCATGAATTACATCTATAGTAGTAGCTCAGTGATCAAAGAAAACAATAATCTAAGATTTTGATTCAGATGACAGATTTTTTTTTTTTTGCTTTTTGGGTCACACCTGGCGATGCTCAGGGGTTACTCCTGGCTCATGCACTCAGGAATTGCTCCTGGCAGTGCTCAGGGGACCATATGGGGTGCTGGGAATTGAACCTGTGTCAGTCATATTGGCTGCGTGCAAGGCAAACGCCCTACCCGCTGTGCTATCACTCCAGCCCCAAGATGACAGATTATTTAGCTGTTCTAAGCCTCAAGAATTACCACCACCTTCACAAACATTAGAGAATGAAATGAGACATCAAGAAAATGCGTAACCAATGTTGACTGGACTTTTCCTAGTCTCAGTTTAATATACTGTTAAAGCAAGCACTCAGGAAACCTTGCTCCCTGTTTCCATATTTGAAACCACTTCAGCCCTGGAAATTACTGGAATCAAAAAGTGTACAATAACAAATCATTATTTTTATTACCCCATACTACTTCAGTTCACTGCTTTATGAAGACTGAATCCCTGCAACTAACAAAACAGTGCCCTGTTCTTCCACCTCACCTTCTGATGACACTGCAGGATTGTGAAAAGCACATTATGTACATTCAGGAAGATGCTTCCATACTCGGGAGGCTTCAGGTGGTCCAAGGGGACTGTCAACAGGATGCTGAAGGCCAGGCTGACATGGTGTGGGTTGCTGATGATCTCCTCTCCCTGCCGCAGCAGTGTGGCCAGTACATCCAAAATGGGCATGACCACCTTGACGGGCACCGGCTGTTCCTGACAAGCCTCTCGGTTTTGCAGCTACAGGACAAAACAAAGGTGATTCTCCAAAGAAACAACACAAAAACTTTAAGACTTTCAGAAAGATGTGATAAATCAATGAAAATCCCAATATGAAAGATATAAAAATGTATAGGCGTCAAAATAAATATGGTCAATGGGTAGCTGGAAGACACCAAGGAACCAGGATTCATCCATAAAGGGCAACCTACTATATATTTAACTGTTTTGGTCTACACTTTTGGTTGAGTTCATTTACCATGAAGAGGAATAATTTCCTATTAAAAAAACTGACTCGTCCAATTTCAATTTTATATCAGTTATACATATATTTCCCCCCAAAGATCATCAGTTCTACATGTCTACCCATAGTACAATACATAGAACTGAGGTTTGTGTGTTCATGCCCAATTCAATCAGCTTAATCAATGGCTGAATAAATAGCAGTATTCCTACAGTTAAAAAAAAAAAAAAAGAACTGAGGTTTGCTCAGTTTGTTACATTTCTTAAAAATTAGCTTCAGCTACAGACATACTACACTATATATAGCCCCATCTTGTCTGATTTCAGAAGCTAAGCAGGGTCAGTCCTGCTTAAGACTTGGATGGGAGACTGCCTGGGAATACCAGGTGCTTTAGTGCAGCAGGTAAGGCATTTACCTTGCAACCGTCAACCTGGGTTCAATCTCCGGCATCCCACATTGCCCCCAAGCACCTCCAGGAACAATTCCTCATTACAGAGCCAGGAGAAACCCCTGAGCATTAGGTAATATAGGGAATTATCCATTAATGCAAAAGCCCAGAAAAGAACAAAGCAACAAAACAGATCAGAAGAAAACATAAACTGTATTTTTGTGACTCTTTGTCCTTCATATGCACAATCAAGGTAACTCTCAAGCAGCATAAATTATGTTAGAGCTAAGTTCAAGTACAAGAATACTCATTAGATTCATAGTCTTCAACTGCTCATTCAAGTTCCAGTCCTCAAGTATAAGATTAAAAAACAATGGCCTTGGTTATGTCCAGCATCCAGTATTCAGGACTGGTGGCAGTCCACTGATGTAAAAAGGCAAAAAACCTACATTAGCTTTAGGAAGCAGAAATCCTAAGACAGGCACAATACAAACTGGCATTTATTTAATAGTGAAATCATTTTCCTTTGTTTTTTTGGTCAAAGACTATAAAGGCTATTTTCAAACAGGTTAATGTACATCAGGTATAAAAATGTAATAGCTGGGTGGAATTCTAACAATCTGCAACATGACTATTCCAGTCTACAAAGCCATTTTCTTTCCTGCTTTAAACACTCTCTTAAGCACATTCCCTTCACTCACACCACTAATATGAACCTATGCATTAAAATTTTGTGGGGATAAGTCTACCCCCGGAATTCTTCTCATCTCATCTCTACAGGCTTCCCTAGTAGTCTAATCTTGTGACCACATTCCTTCTCTTACTATCCTAATGCCTGTCAATGCTCAATTTCCCTCACACCAACAAGTTCTACTGATGATACCAATCTGCAGACAAAGGCACTGACAGCACAGCTCTTCTCTGGATGTAGTCTCCAGAAGCACATTCTGCATAAAGCCCCAGAATGACAGAACCAAAGATGAAGAAAACTGTGAAAAAGGGGATGAGAAGCACATAACTGGAGGTTGCAAGGGGCAGAAGGTGGGCAAGGCACTTGCCTTGCACATAGTCAATCCTGTTCAATCCCAGGAGCTACTTTGTGGCCCCTCAAGTCCTGCCAGAAACGATCCTCCTAACACAGAGCCAGAAGCTTCAACACTGCTGGACATGTCCCAGAAACCAAAAACAAAAACTCCAAAGGGTACTCACAGTTAGAGCTGTGATGATCTGAGGGCTTGCACGCCAGAACAAACTTGCTTGGTCTCCATTAAAGGGGCAATTCAACAGCAACTTGATCAAAGTAACAGTTGACAGCATAGCCTAAGGGAAAAGAAAAACATGTCAGCAAAAAAAAAAAAACAAAACAAAACAAAAAACCCAGCTAACAATCCTAGATGGCTTGTTTCTGGTACTGACATGAAACTGCTGACCCCATTGGGTGCCAGGAGCACGGATAAAACCTGGTTTGGGTAAAATCCCACGGTTAATCCTCTTTATATCGTCAAGCACTTTGGGAAATTACAGCAAAGTAAATGCCTTCTCAGAGGCAAATCACTAAAGAGAACATAAATATGCCAAGACAGGAAAGAGAAGATCACATATGTACCTCAGGATCTAATTATAGAGATCCTGTCTTATCAAGATAATGTCGAAAGAGTAAGGTTATGTAAGAACATAAGTTTATGGATAAAAGGAAGGCAGAAACATAACCAAATAAAATAATCAGATTAGCATCACAAGTGATGGTCGAAAATCAAGGGATGGGAACTAAAGTCACTGAACCAAATGACCCTATACTCGGCACTTTATACCCACAATTTCACCTCATACCAGCCTCTTCCTCTCGTAATAGTTCAGACCTATAAAATTCTACTTTTTGTACCCTTTGCCTTCACTTCCCCTAAAACATACCCTAACCTGCACATACCCCTAAACCTTCCAACCCCATTGGGAACCCTACCTAACTCCTCCATCCCTTTCTGGTTTAGGTGCTATTCTCCTAATCACCTGCAAGATGAGCGATCCCTACAAGAGAATCTGTATGCAGCAGGATGCCCATCCATTTTCTCTCTCACACGCATCCTCTGCTCCTAGAAGTCTGACACACTAACTGTACGCCCCCATCTCCACAGCAATATTTCTCACTCCAGACCCAAGCAAATCCTCTCCAGCTTTAAGCATTCAGCTCAAGTGCCTCACTCCTCCATGAATCTTCCCTGAGTAGTGTATTTAAATATATCTTTTATTTAAAAGAAGAAAACTAAGAAATTTAAAAATGTCTTGTTATACCTTGGTTTGGGGAAGCTAAGGTCTTCTCAATGCTGTAGCACAATCAATCGTGCATGAATAAACTTTTAGGAGGGGTCGAATGAAAGCAGTCCCAAGGGCAGCAGGGAAGGGGCTGTCGGGAAGCAGAAGAATTGGAGTCCTGCCTAATCTCATCAGCCTTAAGCATTCATGAAGGAGGTATGAGTTCTCCCAGCTGCCCTGCTCTGACCTGTATTACCTTATCCAGCTATCTTCCCACCCAAATTAGACCCAATTCCTTTGCAAATTATAATCAGGAGTCAAAATTATCACTTGAGAGGCAGAGAAAATTCAGAAGAATCCTGAAGTATAAAATTCCAGCCTGGCCCCTTCACCTCCAGTGCAAGGCAGGGACAACATGTGACTGACCAATCCAGGAGCTAACCAAATTTCCTTCAGCTCATGAGCTCAGTGAAGAAGTTTTTCAAAACAGGTATGGCCAAATGCAAATTCGGGTCTTTATTACTAACTACCAAATAAACGAAGGGGAAAAGAATGAAAAGAGCATGTTAATCTGATTCTCAAACAAGATCCAGGTGGTGTGAATGAAACAAGTAAAATAAAGTATGAGGGGTAGAGGTCTTAGGCAAAGAAACAGAATTTAACATTTTTGTATCAATACTCTGAGTGCATTATTTAGTAGTTCACATAAGGACATATTGTTGAATAAAAAGAGTTTCCCACTGGTAAATAAAGCCATACACTAAGTTCCCAGATCCCTTCTGAGACATTTTAGTGGCCACACTAGATCTCAAATAAGTTTTCCCACTTAAAGTTACTATTATTTATGTGCCCGCTATGCAAGAGAAAGAGGAGTAACCCACCTTCACATCTGCTTTCCACATGTTACTGGTGTCTAATCCTTGCAGAACATACTGCATCACCATCCGAAAGTCCTCTATAGTCCCAACCGCTAATATTTGGCTGAACAACATTTTCAAATGAGGTTCAATATCCTGAATTACCTGAACTGAAATTGCAGGATCTGCATGAAAAAAACAAACAAAGAAACAAACAAACAAAAAAAACCCCAAACTGTGAACATGTGGAAGATGAAATAAATGAGAGCAGTTGTGATGAAATGATGCACAGTTATTGAAAGCTACCACTGTAGACCTGCAGACTAGTACCAATTTTCAGCCTAGAAGCTGAAATCCACTGACAAAGAATGCATACATTGCACAGGCAAGGCTTTGGGCTCAAAACTCCAGTACTGCATACCCCAAATGACACCAAACACCACCTCCTGGGCCAGACCACCACAGGAAATGGCCCCCACAACACAAAATATTTGTAAATTTTCAATCTTTAAAAGCCCACCACTGGGGCTGGAGCAATAGCACAGCGAGGACCTCTGCCTTGCATCCAGCCAATGTGGGTTCGATTCCCAGAATCCCATATGGTCCCCCAAGCACCACCAGAAGTAATTCCTGAGTGCAGAGCCAGTTGTAACCCCTGTGCATTGCTGGGTGTGACCCTCCCCCCCAAAAAAAGAAGCCCACCATTACAAGAACACTGAAAACAAAGAGCACAGGACACACAGTATTTACAACATGATGCCATTGTGCAGTGACTCCAAGCACTGTGCATACACTGCCCAGAGGACCTGAGACACACACAGCGGTGTGCAGCATTGCTGAACTGTCCCACCGCAAACTATTGTTACTTTCTTTAACCTTTTTTCTATTTTCCTTTTATAAGAATATTATGTATAAGGGACAAAGGAGCGGGATGGTACTTTTAAAAGAGTAATATTAATGACATTAAAACTCTTGGAGAACTGCCTATAACAGCCATTTGGGTCTCACTAATGCATGTAACTTTTTCACTATCCCAGGTTATCTGGCCCAAGGTCTCATGATAAGAGTTCAAAGTTACTAAGATCGGGACTGGAGCGATAGCACAGCCGGAAGGGCATTTGCCTTTCACACAACCAACCCAGGTTCAATCCCCAGCATCCCATATTGTCTCTCGAGCACCGCCAGGAGTGATTCCTGAGTGCAGAGCCAGGAGTAACCCCTAAGCATCGCTGGGTGTGACCCAAAAAGCAAAAATTTAAAAAGTTACTAAGATCTAGGGGCCAGAGCAGGAGTACAGCAGATAGGGCATTTACCTTGTATGCAGCTAACCGGGTTCAATCCCAGACATCCCATATGGTCTTCCCAAGCACTGCAAGGAGTAATTCCTGAGCACAGAGCCTGGAGTAGCCCCTGAGCATTGCAGGGTGTGACCCAAAAAAGCAAAACAAACAACCAAAAAACCAAAGTGCTAAGCACCCAGACTTACTCGGTGAGCCCCATTCTCAATCTATAAAATATGCATAACAATACCAACTCCATAATAATACCAACTGTGGTGCTAGCAAAAAAGGTATCTGACATATGAAATATTCAGCATTAATTAGCTTAATTCAAATTATAAAGCCATTATTTATAAATGTTTTGTTTGCATGCAATCTCTCTAACCACAGTTCCGGTTTATAGTATTTAATTATCCTCTGATTTGTCTAATATGTGTGCCTAGTTAGAGAAGCCAAAGTAAACACCTCATTCATCCCCAGAAGAGGATATACAGTTCCACATATACATAAAACATCTTTTAAGCAATGAACTGAATTGAGATTATCTCACCTATTGTTACAAAGCATTTATTATAATGCATTTATAATGCATTTATTAAAATGCTCATTTTATGAATTAGTATAAACCACCCTTGGGGGCCAGAGAGATAATACAATAGATAAGGTGCTTGCCTTGCACACAGCCAACCCGGATTCAATCTCTGGCAACCCATATGGTCCCTGAGAACAGAGCCAGAAGTAAATCCCAAATACCAGAAAAGGGAAAAAAAGTAATAATTTAAAACAGCTTTTAAATAAACCACTCCTCGGGGCTGGAGAGATAGCACATCGGGTAGGGTGTTTGCCTTGCATGCGGCCAACCTGGGTTCAATTCCCTGCATCCCATATGGTCCCCTGAGCACCGCCAGGAGTAACTCCTGAGTGCAAAGTCAGGAGTAACCCCTATACATCACCAGGTGTGACCCAAAAAGCAAAAAAATAAATAAACCACTCCTAAAGACAAGTTATTCACAGACAACCATAACAGTCTTGGTATTTCAAAAAAAAAAAGAAAACCAATAATAACCAAAGTCTTGGTATTCTTCCATACTTGGCATCTCATTCTCTAGAGTCTAGCAGCTTAGTTAGGTTTAAGAGAGCATGATGTCTGGGAGCACAGCTTGAGGGGGATTTGGGCTGCTGCCTTGCCCCTCTACTACCATGATAAGGTTCTGCCCCCCAGGGTATCATAAATCTTGTTTCATGAAGGCCATGCTTTGCTGGCCTGGAAAGATGACATCTGACTAAAGTACCACCATGTCCAGATGATGGGCTGAGCCTCTGCTCAATCAGTATCCACAGTCCTTACCAGTTCAGGTACCACTGAAATCTAGAGGCTGAAGTCCTGACCTTAAGATATTTTGGGTGGTTTCATGTGAATCAAATCATGTACAGCACTGTAATCCTGCTGTTCATCGATTTGCTCGAGCGGGCCCAGTAACATCTACATTGTGAGACTTGTTACCGTGTTTGGCATATTGAATATGTCACGGGTAGCTTGCCAGTTTTGCCGTGAGGTACATTAAAAAAAAGAGAGAGAGAGATTTTTAAAATCTTTTTTCCCCCTAGGTTTTTGGACTTGCAGTGCTCAGGGCCTACTTCTGGCTCTGTGTTCCTAGTGTGCGGTGTTCAAGGAACCATATACAGTGCAGGGACGGAACCCGGATTGACCATATATGCAAGGCAAACACCTTACCCACTGTACTACCCTTCTGGCCCCCTCTGTATCTTTGAGTCAACAAGAAAACTTTAAATCCTGATCCAGAAATAAGAATGAAATGATCTATGATGACATCCTGGGGGTCAGACAGATAAAGGCTTAAAAAGAGATCACAAAACTATAAATCAAGACTATTTCCAAAAACAGTGGAAAAACTACAGTGCTAAACAATAAACTTAGCAGGTTACCCTATGGGTAAATAACCAATTTCAAAGATCACCACTTACATGAACAGAGAATGCTGGCACTGGGTACAAGCTCCTGAAAAGTGAATGGGCGTAAGATTTCCAAACCATTCATTGTCATATCTTTTGAAGTACTTATTCCAAAATGGAGCGGCAAGGATAGAAACTCACCTTGCCGGACATTTAGCTATCTTCTACTAAAAGTGCGACAGTACAGAATTAGCTCTAGAGAAAGTATCTTACCTGTAAGAACTTCTCTCACTGAATTAAAGATGGAGGTAAAACAGGAATCCTTCGTGGGATGTAGTTCCGGGGCCAACAAGAAGACAGTTAAAAATCGAACAGCTGCCTGAAAAGATGGAATGTTTCCTGCTAGGGATGGCAACCCTGTCAAGATCTTTGAGTACATGTTCTGGTACAGGGCAGCACGAGGGAGCAGCACCTTGTCGGCAGCTGGGGAAAGCTCTGTCCTGGGACTGGAGTTCTGGTGCACATCCGCTTCCAAGAGGGTGACAACTGAGGAGATGAAGGCAGAGGAAAGGCACTGACCTGAGGTCTCACATGTCAGGCAGAGCTGGAGCACAGTCCCTGTGTGGAGAATGGCTTGCTCCAACAGCTTCTGCAGAGCTTCCAGTGCCTCATGCTGCTGTTTCCTCTCTCTAACGAAAGGCCCTAGGACTTGGCATAACTTAGTAAAAGACATCAGAAGGAGCTGTCTACACAGAGGTTGCTGATTTTCCGAATGTTTGCTTAAAGGTGCTTCAGTAGACAGTTTGCACTGTGAGAGGAATGTGATGATCTTCCCAAAATTTATCACCAAATTCAACTTTATCTGTATAAGCATCTGCATTAGTTGTTCTAAGAATGTCTCAGTAACTTGGAGGAACTCCATCCAAGAGGGGTTATCCATATCGAAGAACAATCTACTTACTTTGAACAATGAGGTCAGTATGATCTCAAAAATATCACTTACATACAAGATCTTGAGCACTGACTTGGCACTTTTCCCCCTTTGAAGATAACCCAGAAGTTTATAACAAGTCATCAAAAATTTGAGAGTCAATGAAGAAGAGCAAGAGTGCCCGAACTCAGCTAAAACCATAGACAGTAATAAAAGGAAATAATGTACATGGTAGGGCGTTAAGAGGCTATCCAATTGTAGAGTAGAAATAATTTCTAAAAGTTCCAGGAGGCTTTCTAGCTGTTCTTCCTCCAGCTGGATCGGAAAGTCACTCTTCACCAAGGACAGTAAGTTCTGGGCAATTTCTCCTTTTGGTTCTACACCTTCAGGCCCAGATTTTGCAAACCTGTTTTCCAAATGGGCCACAACTGTGTGGTTCTTTTCAAAAAGCCAGGGTAACCAGTGCTTAAGAGAGGACTCATTCTGGACATGAGAACACAAAATGCTAGAACATCTCACAGATAGGCACATTAAAAAAGCAGAATGAAGGGATTGTAATTCTGGAAAAAGAGGACTATAAAGAATGCTCTTAGATAGCTTTTCAAGTGTAATGTGCTGTTCTTCGTCTACCAAGCCTTCCTGGGCTTGACTCATTGACAAAGTGCTTAGCAGGACACTGGCCAGGTATCTCACGTCATCTGAACATAGATAGGACATTAAAATGGTAAGATTTGACACAATCAAGTGCCAGTGTGCCACAGGGTATGCAAGTGCACTCAATGTTGCTACCTGGCCATCCCATGACGTTGTTGATCTCTGATTAAAGCTCTCTCTGCCAGAATCAAGAATGAAAGCAGCATCACCCCTCAAAATGCAGAGGGTTTCTTCAGACTGGTCACTAGTTTGCATTAAAATCCTTTTCATTCTCTGCAAATGGAGTAGCTCTAAACAGTACTTGCCAAGAGAGTCAAACTGCACGATCAATTTTTCAATCTTCTCCCAATGATGTGTTTCTACACCTGAGAGCAACAAAGGGTAGCTTGAGTTCTTCAGAGCATCACATGTGAGGGTCCCTGACACAGAGCAATACTGGCTACAGTTTATACTGAGCATGGTGTCCACCTGAGCCCAGGTGTAAGCAAGCAGGAGTGCAGAGTCACTAACCTTCTGCAGCCACAGCTCAGATTCTGGGACTTGTGAGACTAAGAGAAGGTCCAGCTTGGGCTTCACAAGCCCCTGGAGAACTCTCTCCATCATACACTGCATCCGTTTGATGATGGGCTGAGGTGTGCTGCTGTCCAAACTCTTCATGTTAAACATGATGCAGTGTAGCAGAGAGCTCAGGGACAGTGACTTTAGGGCCATGTCTACATCACCCTGCAAGTAAGGCAAGACCAGAGACTGGAATTTATCTAGAAGGAGGGTACATGTGTCTAAGATCTGGCTCAGTGGTAACTCCAAGAGACACTCACAAAGCACCTTGGAAGGGCCAGAGGCCAGTACAGGCTGTCTCAGTGCTTCTGCAGCTGGACGACAGAGCACTCCCAAAATCTCCTCAAACAACCGAGGCACTTGCCGGAGTTTGGCATACGTCTGGAAGAGAGCATGAATGAGCATCTCCTGGGCTTTTCTGGTTCGATACTCTGTTACTTCTGCGTCAATCCAAGCTGAGGACAACAGGTCATCCAGATCTGGCTCCAAAATCAAGTGATTCAGAGACATCAAAACCTTGAGGCAGCGGAACCAGGCTGGCACAAGTGCTTGTGAATGGTTTATCAGCAGCTCAGCCACACGACGGTAAAAGTGGAATTGAGCCTCTCCATGCCGGATCCTATCAGCTGCTATATTGTAGATATTGTGATTGGCCACAAGGTTAAGCAGCTGCTCCACTACCAGTAGTTCAGCAGTCCAATCTGATACAGACAGAGCATTTACCTGCTTCTCCTGCAGGTGTGAAATCCTCAAGCAGTCAAAGAGCCTAGGGAACACCTGGAAGCAGAGAAACTGGTTCCCTTCTTTGAAATACGCATCTAGGAAGAGCTTATACAGCAAAGTCACCGAGCTGGTTATAACGGCAACATGAAGGGATGGTTCACAGTAGCTAGAATCCACCAGTGCAGCAATCACAGTGTCTGCTGGAGCTAGAAGAGTCTTCATGGCCGCCATCTTTGTGTCCTCTTGTTTGTGGTCCAAGAGCTCCTCTTTGTAGGAGGAGAGCAGTTCTGGCTGAAAAACTCCACCTTGAAGCATAGCCTCAATCTGACTCCGAATGTCTCTGCTCAGTGCCTGCCACTGCTGACCCTGGCTTGCCTGCGTCCATGTGCCTGATGACAGCAGGTGTCTCAGGACTAGGCAAGGCTGCAGCAGGTGCCCAGTCACCTCCCCAAAGGCACGTCTTGGGTTGACCTGCTGCTTCTGGATCGATAAGTAATGGCCAAGAGCAAGATGAATAAGCTCAAATAACTGGGCTGGCACGGGTTCCTCTGGCTGTTTGCAGGCTAACTTACACAGCTGACTCAGCAAGGTCACAATCAGCTCCTGTTTGGCTGTGTAAATGACAGCAAGGGCAGGTGTGGAGAGGATGCCCTGGCAGCAGCTCAGCACAGCACAGATGTTCCTTTGGGATCCCGAAAGAGAGAACTCGGTTATTCTCTCATTTATGATCTGAATATTAAAGAAAGAAAACTCATTACTCTTAAACTCACACATAAAGAAAAAATACAATAGAATCAATGAATACACACCTTGCCTGCATATTCATATGAAAGATATCCCCAAATTATCTGAATGACCCAGACATTTGCTTAACTCACCAATGAAGGCAAAGCATATTTTAATTCCTCACACATCCAACTCCTACCAATACAAATTCAGTACAATTGTCAATCTACTATCCTTTTTAAAGCGCTAGGTTTTATAAGGAATAAATTTCAAAGATCACTTCTTAGACTCTAAACCTGCAGTTCAGCTTAGATGCTATAGGTAGGGGAAGAGTATCCTTGGTTGCGTACTTATAGTCCAAACACATTTTTGTAGTGTTTGTACTTAAAAGGTAAAGCAAAAGGCTTTCTTAAAAGGTAAGCAATGTTGTCTGTTGCAGCCCCTGTGGAAAATATTATGGAGATTACCTTAAAAAAAAAAAAACCCTGCAACAGAACTCTCAAATGACCCAGCAAGCCTATTGCTTCTTATCTATTTCCAAAACACAAAAACATTTATTTGAAAAATATCTAATGACACCGATTACAGCTCTTAGTACAAGAGTTACGAGAACGGAAAGAACACAGGTGTCTGGCAGAAGAGTGGATAATAAATTTGTGGGAACTAGAACTATATACAATGGAATAACACTAAGCAGTAACAAGAAATGATGAAATCATGCAATTTGCTACACTTGAATAGAACTGGAGGTTATCATGTTAAGTGAAATCAGTCAGGAGAAGATGTTCTCACTAATAACAAAATAATGTGAAGGGGGTGGGAATTATCAACGATAAAAGGCAAAACACTGACTCTAGATTACAGAAACAAAAATGCCAAGGAGGAAGATAAACGATGATGGAGCAAGAAAATTAAGTCTGGAAACAGCATAACATTGGGCTGGGGCCTTGAAATCCTCTGTGGCATAGAGGTGAGGGTATCTGGACATAATTAATCTACTAATACAACACTACTTAAAATATGGCACCCAAACTGCAATAATTAAATTTAAAAATGTATCTATGAATCAGCTGGGAATATTGGTGGTGATGGGGTGGGACTGGAAGTGGAAACATTGCCTGAAACCCTATTGTGAACATTGTAAATCATGGTGCCTAAATAAAAATAAAATTTAAAATAAAGAAAAGCACATGTTTTAATTAGCTATTTATTATACAAACGCCCATAATATACTATTTCCATGGCAGAGTCTGGCAAGCTCCCCGTGGCATATTCGATATGCCAAAAACACGGAGGCGTTACAGGTGCCAGCTCGAGCAAATCAATGAACAACGGGAGGACAGTGCTACAGTGCTGTACTATTTCCAAAATTCTGAAATGCATTAACAACAGAATTTTTAAGGATCAAAAAGATCCTTAATTTCACTCCTAAGCTAAGTGACTTGCTCCCAACCTTCTTTATAAAGCATCTAAGAATCAAATTATCTTGTGTGATAAACTACCAAGATACAATGACATAGGTATGATTTTCTCCATTTAATTAGTTGTTGGGTCTGGAAAGGTAAAAGGTAAAGGTAAAGGCCCTCCCGTTGATCGTCGATTTGCTTGAGCGGATCCAGTAACGTCTCCATTGGCGACTTTGTTGTTACTGTGTTTGGCATATCGAATACGTCACGGGGAGCTTGCCAGGCTCTGCTGTGCGGGCGAGATACTCTCGGCAGCTTGCTGGGCTCTCCGAGAGGGGCAGAGAAATCGAACTCGGGTCGGCCATGTTGGCTGCGTGCAAGGCAAACGCCCTACCATTGTGCTATCGCTCCTGGTCTGGAAAAGCTAAAACAAAATTAAATGCCAATACAAAACTGATTTCCACACTTCTTTAACTATACAAATCATCTGCGAAATATTCCCACATTCACAGTTTGGTAGAAACAAAGGGCCAAAGGGAACACAATGGGAGAACTGAGTTTCGGGGAGAGTCTGGACAGATATAGTACAGCTCATAGGGTGCATGCCTTGCACATGCTGACCAAGGTTCGATCTCTGGCACCACAAACAAGAAAAAGATAAAATCGACAACCTTTAAATGTCTGAAGAACCAAAAACAAATAAATCCAAAAGCAAGTAGAAGAAAGAAAATACTAAGAATCAGAGCAGAAATCAATGATATAGAAGTCAAGAAAGCAATACAAAGAAACAACGAAAGCAGGAAATGACTCTTTGAATGAATAAACAAGACACACAAACCTTTGGCTAGACTCACAAGGGAAACAAGGGAAAATGCTCAAATAAACTGAATCTGAAACAAAAGAGAGAATTTACAACAGAACCCTCCCAAAATCAAAGATATCATGAGAGCTGACTATGAACAACTCTTATCTGTTAAGCTGGAGAACCTAGAAGAAATGTACAGATTCATAGATATCTCTCAAAAGTAAAGGAGGAGGAAGTAGAAGCCTGAAGACCGCAATCACAAGCAAGGAAATTGGAACAGTAATAATCTCCCCAAGAGGGACCAAAACAATAGTACATTGGGTAAGGTGCATGTCTTGCACATGGCTGACGCAGGTTCGATTCTTAGCATCCTATATAGGCAGAACACCCAAGACTTGGAGTTTTCGATGATACTATGCCATTGGCAAAGGCTACAGAATCAAAAATAAATGGGACAACATCAAATTAAAAAGTTTCTGCATGGCAAAAGGAGCATGGATTAAAACTAAAAGACAGCTGAGTGGAAGAAAATACTTGCTCTCAATACATTAAAGGGATGATATCCTGGATCTATAAAGTACTCACAAAGAACAACAACAAAAATCTAAAAGCACCATCACAAAGAGGGGGATGGAAATGAACAGATTTCTTTGAAGAACAATAGATAGCTAACAGGAACATGAAAAAATGCTCTGCATCACTTACTAGGAAAATCCAAATCAAGATGACAATGAGATCTTATACTAGTAAGAATGGCACATATCAAAAATACTGGAAAAAAATTTGTGTGGGTGGAAATGTGGTGAAAAAGGAACTCCCATCCACTGCTGGTAGTAATATTGTCTGGTTCAACCCCTGTGAAAAACAGCATGGAAACTTCTTAGTAAACTTAAAATTGAGCTGCCATTATGACCTAGTAATTCCACTTTTGGCTACCCCAAGGACAGAAAAACATTCCTTCAAAAGGATGTATGCATAATACCTGAGACCTGGAATCAACCAGAATCCAGGCTGGAGAATAGCACAGCAGACACAGTGTTTGCCTGGAATCAACCTATATGTCCAACAGCAGATAAGTGGATCGTGGTATTTATACACAACAAAATACTACACAGCTATAAGGAATGATAGAATCATGCAATTTACTGCAACATGAATGGGACTGGAAGATATGTTAAATGAAATCAGCCGGAAGAGGGTTAAGCACATGATGATATCACTTTTATGTGGTATTTAGAGTAACTGGATGAGGAAATGCAATGGTTTAAAGTGAGGCAGGCCTAGATCACCCCTGGTCCCATAATACAGGGAGTAAAAAGAAATAGAGTGGAGGTAGGGAAAAGAGATAGATAAGTAGTGGTGGGAGGAGGGGTCAAGGGGATTCAGGTACATCAATGGTGTTAAGGAACGAGACAGCTAAATATCCAAACCACAGAATCAACAACACTGAAACCATGAGCCCCAAACTTTAATAACCAAATTTAAAAAGGTGTCTTGTCAATATGGCAGGTTGTGGGGGACGGGCCTGGGGAGAAAGCCTGGGAACATTTGGTGGATAGACGTTGATACTGGTGGTAGGATCTATGCTGTAACACTGTATATCTGAAACTCAACTATGAAATAACTCCACAAATTACAGTGTTTAAATAAAATTAGCCTGAGAGATAGTAGAGCAGGTAGGGCACTTGTCTTGCATACAGTCAACCTGGTATTAATCTCTGGTATCCCACAGGCCTCCTCCAGCACTACCAGGAGTAATTCCCGAGTGCAGAGTCGGGAGTAACTCCTGAGCATCACCAGGTGTAGTACCAAAACAAAAACAAAAAATAACCTTCAATGTGCCAAAAAATGAAAAACAGGAGACTTTAAAAAAAAAGTTGTAGGAGTATGTATGTATACATAAATATATGTTAGATTTTATAGATATGACAAAAACTTTGGCTATGTTGTTTAATGAATATTTCTATATATGGTAATACTTTCATGCTAATTAACAAAAAGTGAAATAATTGAATGTATACTCCAGTCTATCTGTATTTATGTATCAATAACTATGATTCCTGATTATAAACAAACTTTTATAAAACTACAAAAAAATTTAAAAAAAAAAGTTGTAGGAACCAATAAAGTCACCAATAGTCAAGCAGCTAAACTATTTAATTCTGTTACCAGCACTACTTTTTCTTTCTGCCTGAACATTCATAGGGCAAGATGACTAGAAAATAAAAGCATAGACTTCCTAACACAACCTAACAGTTCTAGAAGATAACACCAAGTCACTTTATTTCTTTGAGTCTGGCACAAACTACATACTCATTATCAGTGCTTATCAACAGGTATTCTCAAGATAGTCAAGTTTTAACTTTCTTGTATGCTTTACAAAAATCACTCAATGAAGTTTTAACAATGAGGTTCATAATTTTAATATGATGTTAAAAACACTTTCAGACAAAAACTTTAAAGCAAATTCCAATCTACATTTGACCTTTGATCTCCCCAACAAAAAGGTTTGAGGGGAACTGGGATAGAAAGACTCCAAAGTATAATTTTCAATCTAACTTTCCCAATTAGGGGCCAAAAAGATACTATAGAGGATTAGAGTGCATACTTGCATGTGGCTGATCCCCAGCACAATGCGGTCCCCCAGAGGCCTCCCCATGCCCTATCCCTGCACCACAGCGCCAATGCAGCATGGAATTCTCAGGTCCTCACTCTGAACCACTGGCCCAGTCAACCTAGTATGACCAACATGAGCACCACTTGGGAGACTCAACCAAATGTTCTTTTTAACAACAAAAATTAAAAATAAAGGTAATCAATTTTGAATTAGTTTTTCTTAAATTGTAAGTAACTGCTTAACACAATTTAGAGCATATTTGTGCATTTGATTATTACAATTCTAAAAATACTATTTACTTTTACTGCGAAACTGCTTCAGTTTCATTTTTCAATTCTGAAACAAAGAAGCCAGGAAATTGAGGACACTGATGGTAGAAAATTTATACTGACTCCAGAATAAATGGATATTGGAACACTGTATGACTTGGAAACTCAATTGTGAACTTTGTATATTAAGGTGACTCAATAAAAATTGTTTAAAAATAAATAAACAAATAAGCCTCCAGGGGCAGAGTGATAGTACAGCAGGTAAGGTGTCTGCATTCCATATGGTACTCCAAGTGGACCCTGCACAAAAGCCAGAAATAAGCCCTGAGTACTGATAGTGTGGCCCAACCCCTTCAGATCTGTTCCCAAAGCCCCCAAAAGACAAGTAAGCCTCCAGCATTAGCAGAAAATCAACAGAAATATATAAAACATATACAGGAAACTATTAGTTACCTTGACTAGGGAAAGCTGAAGGTCAACTGTCTTTCCATTCTTAAGCAGAGTCTGCAACTTCCTGCTATGCAGAATGTTATCTATATAGATCCAAAGTCTTTCAACAATGTCTTCCTTCAGTTCAAGTTTTTTCTTGTAAAATGCAACCAATGTCTGTCTGGCCCAATCAAGTAATACCTAAATTTTAAGAAATATACATATAAATAAAAGATCTTTTAAATCAAGAAAGCCACTGAAGAGTCACAGGAAAATCCCATGCATAATCAAATCCATCAGCAGAGAAAGGAGGATGATTCTCCTTTCAAGCCTATCTCTGGCAACCTGAAAAAGCCTACAGTTAAAAGAATTATTAAGAAACTAATTTTGCCTTCAGCTTGTGCCAATTAAAAGTTTCAAGTAAAACTCTAAGTTTCTACTAACTTCCCTAAAATTTTACTGAATTTTAAAAATCACAAGCACAACAACTGAATAGCCACAAAATGATTCAAAGGTAAAAGTACAGAATCAAAAGACAAGGTTCAGGCAATTTGCAGCTCAATCTCTAAATGTGCTTACCTTCCCTAGATATAACAGTGTTCTGTAAGATAAGGTTCTACAAAAAGAAGGTATGACACATGTCTAGAAGTTTCCGTTATAGAGACATTTCCTTACTCATAAACTTGAGGAAAGCTGATAAAGGCAGAGCTCATGAAAACAAACTTCAACAAAATACGAACAGCAGCAAATGATAAACAAATTAAAACCTCACATAAAGACTTAGGATTAAGATACAGACCTTGATGCACCTGCCTGCCATGACATTTCCTTTGGTCACACACACTCAAGAAGAGCATTTGCCAGGAGATTGTCAAATTGCCAAGTTGATTTTCAAGTCAACAGGTTTAGAAACTACTAGATACACTAATACTCTCCATACTATACCTCATCACCAGTAAACAGACATCTTGAACGCATGCTGCTTCTTTAGTAACAAGCATGTAAGCATAAATTAATCCAATTTCATTAGCTCATCAACCTACCAACAGTATTTTTTCAGCTAGGTTTGAGAAATGTTTAATAAGAGGGCTTACCTTCTTGGTTCCTAATATATTTCTAGACAATAATACAAATATTAAATCTCCTCTATTTTCCAATTCTTAATTATCAAATTCTGGAGATGTTTAACTTATGAAGCATAGTTTCTACTTATAAGGAGCTATCAACAAATTAACCTATTTCCAATTTGTCCCCGATACAATTATTGAGATAGAAATGTAAGATGTTTCCAAACATAACACAAATGCTGTGGTTTTGAAGCAAACCAAAAAAAAAAAAAAATCTTCCAATGAAAGTTCTGATATTACTTTTAAAGTCAGTAAAGTCAGTAATATTTAACAAATGTTACTTTGCGGGGCTGAGAAACAGCATAGCTCCAGGCACACTGCTGACCCAAGGTTCCATCCCCAGCATCCAATATGGTCCCCCTGAGCACCGCCAGGAGTGATTCCTTGAGTGCAGAGCGAAGAGTAACCCCTGAACACTGCCCGGTATGATCCCCCAAAAGCAACAACAACAACAAAACCCAAACCAAATGTTATTTTTAGCTTCCAATGATCTTTTTGTCATTGGTCTTCAAACTTTTAAAATCGCAACTGAATGTTAAAAATACACTGTATACACACGGGAATTTTCTTAGACTATAAATATTTAAGTCTCTCATTAAACTTACTTCTGGGAGAGAGCTGGGCTAGACTGTATGCTTTTCATGTAAGAGGACCTGGATTCAATTCCCAAAGACAAGCAGCAAACCCCCAGTACAGAGCCAGGAGTAACCCCAAGATCATCTCCTAGTGTGCCCCCCCAAAACAAGAATAACTTACTTGCTCTTTATTTGGAAGAAAACACTGGTGGGAAATCCAAGCAAAGTGAGCTAGTTTTAGTTTATCTTCCCAGGAAGTTGACTTGCTTTTAAGTTTAAGGGAAATGCCAGAATAAACAGCAGCCATTGTTACACTTTATCTGTAAATTGAAACAATTCAAAAATATTATACTAAGATCAAACTCAATGTGTATCAGAAAATGGATATTATGTATCTTAATGTCTACATAACAGACATTAGAGAGTGTTATATTTCTTTAAGGGTGGGTAAGATAGAAGATCCAGCATACATACTTTGCATTGCCAGAGAGGCATGATGAATCCCATAAGGTCCCCTGGGCACTGCACTGACAGGAGTGATTCCTGTGTACCGGGCCAGGAATAACCCCTAAGTATCGCCAGGTGTGCACCCACCCCCCCCCAAAAAAACTGAAATGACTGTAAATAAAAACAAAACAAGATCCCCCAAAATACAAAATGAACATCGCAACCTGTAACCTGTCAAACAGCTTTGGTTTGACAACTTGTTAACTATCAACCCAAAATATTTTGCAGTACTGATGGCACAATATGCATATTTTTAAACTTGTGGGGCCTAAAACCTCACAGACGTCTTCCTGAAGGTATTTCCAATATACAAGAAATGAGTGAACAGTGGGGAGGACACTTAATTCAACGCCGTGGCCTTCAATCTATTACAGAAAAGAGGGGCGGTTACCAGTTTTCCTATTTCTCAAAACTCTCAGTGCCCTCCCAACAACTTAATTTCTACCAACGAACAGCTACAAGTTCTTTAATAGCAGTCTGCAGCATCGGCTGCTACAAAGACGCTCACCGGTCCTGCTGGTCTCTGGCAGCGTTCCGTTACCTCTGGTCTCCACGGTAAGACCTCCAAGACCTCTCCTCTTAGATCTTGGAAAGGAAGGACCAGGGAAAAAGTCCAAAGTAGATCACAAAGCTGTTCTTACGCGGAGGTCGAAAGCTCATGGTCACCTTCTCCAGCCTGCGGAGAAACATGAATCTGAGGTGCGCAACTGAGCGCTAAATAAGAGGCAATCACAGGAGCGAGCCCGGGAGGCTCTGAGCGGGGGCAAAGTGTCCTTACCAGGTAAGACGCTCACCTAGGAAACAACACTCGGAGGGACGGCGCGCGCGACAGAGCGCCGGCCCCAGGTGGGTGCTCAGTCCTAGTGCCAGGCAGCTCAAGACTCACCTGTGGGGCCGGAGCGATAATACAACGGGCAGGGCGTTTGCTTTGCACGCGGCCGAACCGGGCTAGATTCCCGGCATCCCATAGGGTCCCCGTGCACCACTAGGCGTAATTTTGAGTGCACAGCCAGGAGTAACCCAGAAAACATCGCCTGGTGTGACCCAAAAAGCATAAAAAGGAAGAAAAAAAAAAGGAGGGAGGTGGGAAAGGACTCACCTGTAGGCCGTCCTCGGGTTCAGCTGTCACCCCAAACCCCCCACTCCGAGGATGGACGGCGGGCAGTCAGTCCCCGGGCTGCGACGCTCCCTGCCAGCCCCAGTCCGGGAGAGACTCGGCAGGTGGAGACAGCTGAGGGCGGCCACCCACCCGGGCTCCCCAGCGGCCCCACCACGTGGACCCGGCTCCCGGGCTCCTTCCGCCCGACGCAAGCGGCGCGGCGGGGCGGGGCGGCACGCACGCCAGGCATTGCCAGCGGAACGCCGAGGCGCCTCGCCCATTGGTGGAGACGGTTGCGCGTTGGAGGCCCGAGCGGCCCGGCCCGCTCCGTGTCAGTCAGTCATGGAGCAGCCTCCCAGAGCCGCGGCCGCGGGGGCGGCGGGGCGCGGGGCGCGGGGGCCCGGCTGAGCCGGCAGTCCAAGCTCGAGCCTGCGGCAGAGACGACGGAGGCGGAAGCGACCGGATCACGGAGGGAGCCGCGGCGGGAGGAGCCGGAGCCGCCTGGGATGTTCAGTGAGCGCGGGGCGCGCGGGCAGGGAGGGACGGAGGAGGAGGGGGCGGGGGGGGTCGCGAGCCGAACGCGCGCGGGCGGGCGGGCGGGCGTGCGGGCGGGGGCCGGGGAGCGCGGCGCGGGCTGCAGCTCTGCGGCGCGCTGCGAGGCCTAGGCGGGGCGCGCGCCCGCAGCTCCCGCCGGCGGGGCGGTGGGGGCGGGGCGCGCGGGCGGGGCTGCCTGTGCGCGGGCGCGGCGGCCGCGCCTCCGCCCTCGGCCTCCCTGTCCCGGGCGGCCGCCGGCGGCGTGGCCTCCAGTGGGCAGCCACACCTGGAGGAGATCTGCATTCCTCTCCAGAGGTGGATCCTCCCGGCCGGCTCCTGGGTACCCGCCGGGGAGGGGTCCTGAGCGCCGGACAGCCCGACGGGAGCATAGGTCCAGTTCTCTTATCATTTCATGAAAAGGGACATGTCTTTTGGGCGAATTCAAGATTCAGCTTCGCACATGGGGATTGTGGGTGGATGGGGGTGAGATTGACCTCTCCCTGGGACGCGGGGAGCTCCAGAGTTAGACTAGTTGTTGCTAGAGGATACAAGGTTTCCTTTGAGATGGGCTCATGACAGGTTTCTGTGCTTAGGCGACCCTCGCAATGCTCCCAGACTCAAAAAACGTGTAAGATAAAGCGTTGTTCCCAAAGTGGCTTGATGGTTAGAAATAGTGGTGTCATTTTAGACTTGGCGGAAGTAGAGTACAGAAAAGCTGTGTGCAGTTCTCTCATCAGTTGTGAAAGTGTCGTTATGATGCGGATCTCGCAGCGTGTATGGTTCTAGGATCTAAAGGTAAGTCTCCCGGTCCCGTGAGTCCTTAGTCGTAAATTACCCAAACTCTATCCTTGCAGATTAAGATCTTGGAATGGTAACTCCCACTTACAAGTGGTTGGATGTGTTTTCGGGAGGAACTGGAAAAGCTGAATTTGTCTTCTGTTAGATGATACAGATGTGTGTGGTATACCTGAGTTGTGGGGGTGAGGGACACACAGCAGCCATTCGCCGATATAATTAATACTTGAAAGTGAGCTAGAAGGGGAAATTGTATCACTTACTCAAACTCAGAGAAAGGCAGTAGTCGTAGGTAGGGCTTTGTGCCCAGACCGAGTTGAAACCATGAACTCTCTGTGTAACTCCTTTGAGCCGTCTTTTCCTCTTTGATGAAATGGGAGGCCTAGGATTTTGCGCTAAATGTGAAGCATGCTAACTTTAATTTTCTTTGAGTTACATTCTTATTGCCTTAAAAATCAGGGATAACCTGAAAAGCCAAGAAAGGAGAGCTAGTTTGCCTTGGGCATTCTTTTTTTTTTTGTAATCTACAACAAATCAGTGCATTTTGAAATAGTTTTGTTGCTCCTGCTTCTACACGTGATTGTTTACTTGTGCTTCTGTCACCATGAAACTAGGTGAAGATCTAACTTAACTGCTCAATAACTGGTTGGGAGAAGGGGTGTTTTTCTCGGGATGTCCTTCATAACACCTGTGAAGGATGCCTTTGAAAATAGGGAGGTGCTGTTTTATATTGAATCATTTCAGCTGGAAGTCCTACCTAGGGAAACTTAAATTCGCCTCATTCAGTGGAAAAGTACTAAGAGCCACATTTTCAACCTGTCTTTATGTGACAACTTCTCAGGTAATAATTCCTAATCATTGTCTCAACCACTGTCTTGTAAACTTTCACGGTTTTGTCCCAACAAGGCTCTGAGCCACAGGAGTACTCGGCTCAGGTGACCTGAATTCCTATCCCAACACTCAAACCTTCTGCACATAGTTTGACAAACTTTGGACTTCAGCTTTGCCATCTAAAATATATTAAGTCTAACTCATAAAGGAGATCATTGTAAAGCTCTTAAAGTTTTGTCTTGTGTCTTTTTTTTTAGTGTTGGTGATGGTATATTCTTTGTGTTAGGGTGGGTGGTGGAAACAGATGAACAGGGTCACAAAAACCATGATAAAGTTTTGTGAATAGGTTTCATACTTATCTAGACTGAAGTTGCACTGTGAGGGTGTCTCTAGTTACTGGGCACTTGGGAGGGGGGTTGATCTGTGCTGCTACCTGATTTAACCTAATCTGAAGTGAGATGGTAGGGTTGCTAGAGAAACCAGGTGTTAGAGAAATAACATGTTTTAAACCCACACTTTGGAGGCAAGAGAAAGTTTTTTAAATGAACAAAGATGTCATCAAATTCACTTTTTACAAAAATTGTGTCTGCAGTAGTGTGGGACTGGATTGAATCGAAGAAAGACCCATCTACTACTCCTGGCATCTTTGTATTTGTTTTTAACTTCAAAAACAAGCAAAGCTTGACAGAAACAAACTTTTAAATCCATATCTGGAATCTTAGCTCCTGGGGAAGACATGACAAGACCCATAAATTGTTTGTGGGAGGCTTCACTCTTCAGGAAAAAAAACAAAAAAACAAATTATTTTCAAGGACAGAGCTATAATACAGTAGGTAGGGCACTTGCCTACCACATGGTCTACCCAGGTTTGATCCCAGCGTCCTCTTTGGTCCCCCAAGCCCTGCCAAGAGTAAGCTGTGAGCACCACCAGGTGTGGCCCACAGACCAAAAAAGTTTCAAGGGAGGAAACATATTCGTCAGGCATATAAGACTGTGTGGAAAATGACTATTCGGTTTAGCAAGGATTGTGGAATCTCAAGTCCAGAGTTAAGAAAAAGAAAAAGCAGAGCCAGCTGACTATGTAAACAGACTACACCAATTTGGAATGGCTATGGTGGGAAGCTAGGACGATAGAAAGTAGTCAGCAAGAAAAGATTTTTTGGATCATGGAGGTTTTGGTTGATACTGGAGAAAATCTGTTTTTTAGTTTCATGCCTTCCCTCCCCTGTACTCTCCAGGTTCTGTATTGCATCCTAAGTCCCCAGCAGTGGGCCTTATTTATATGCCACTCATTTCTTAGATCACTATGGAAAAGAGTATGACTTCTAGTTCAAGTGTGTTCACATCAGTATGTGTCCGAGCAAAAAATAAATAGTAATGCTTGAATGACTTAGGATGCAGTCTGTAACTAGTAAAGACATTTACTCAGTGGGAGACCCATATTATCATCGTCAGAGGCTTCCAGAGTTCCATGTAGCTTTGGTACCATGTACCCCACCACCACCACCACCACCTTTTTATTTGTTTTTGTTTGGGCACCGCACCTAGTGGTTCCCAGTCTTACTCCTGACTGCTCAGCAGTTACTCTTACTGGGGCTCCTAGTGGGGCTCCTAGCTTAGCCGGGGTCCTGCCAGCTGACTCGGGCTCTATCTTCCGCATATTTCTGGGGTTAGCGTGTGACTGTGTTCTTTTTCCTGCAGATTTGTTACTTTGAGACAAGAACAAATCACATCCACATTTTAGGAAGCAAATTTGTTGAAGTTCAGTTGTTGCCAATTTAACACTTGGCAATGTGTTAGAAATAGATACATGTTATACAGTATATCAGTTCCCTTGTTAATTTCTAGAACTACTTAACAGAATGTGAAGGAAAAATATGTGGTCTGTTTTTACCTCTAAAAGTTATGTTAGGGAGCCTGAGCGATATGATAGCCAGTAGTACATTTGCCTTGCAAACTGTGCGACTGACCCGAGGCTCAATCCCTGACACCCTATATGATGGCCCCTAAACCCTGCCAAGAATGATCCCTGAGCATTGTCGGTATGGCCCCAAAACCACTTTTTACTTTTTGTAAAAAAAATAAGATAAAGTTATATTAGAACTGGAAAGTAGCTCAGAAGGGTGGAGTACGCCCCCCTGCCTTAGTCACCTCTGGGAGTAACCCAGGACAAAGCTGGAAGTAGCAGCCCCCCACCAGATATCACTGGGTATGCCCCAACAACAAACCCCAAAGCTATGTAAATTGAAAATTATGAGGAATCCTGAAATTTTAACAAAGATATAATTATATTCAAACTCAATTGATATTTTGAAGATTTTATAGAGGCTGGAGCGATAGCACAGCGGGTAGGGCCAAACGTGCATGCAGCTGACCCAGTCTCAAGTCCTCCGCCCCTCTTGGAGAACCTGGCAAGCTACCGAGAGTATTCCGCCTGCATGGCAAAGCGTGGCAAGCTACCCATGACGTATTCAATATGCCAAAAACAGTAACAACTCCCAATTTGTTGTGAGACATTATTGGTGCCCGCTCGAGCAAATCTGTGAGCAGTGTATTTATAGGAAAAGTTAACCAGGCAACTGAACATCAGCATTAGTCTGAGTCTCTCAGAAGACAGGTCTATTTTACGTTTATTTTCAGTGTCCATTTATAGATATTAATATTACAGAGATCCTAGGGAGAGGGAACTGATTTTCCTGCAGAACTTTGTTAATTATTTTGCTGGAAATATGTAAATATGTATTGGAATCAAGTCTAATGAAGTCATTGTTAGGGTGTTTCCATTGGATATGATTGTTAAAAGAGTTGAAGGCTGCTTTCCTGACCTTGAGATCCTTGGCCCCTAGTTGGCGAACTGTCCATCCTCAGAGAAGATCCCTTTGTCATAAATTGTTGATTATATTTAAAGAATCTGCCCTATTGGATGCATCTAGATTGAATCAGTATGAACAACTAGTTTCTAGCAATCCAAAATAGTCTGTATTTACTATTGTGTGTTCTCATTATTTTCTGTTTGCTTTTTTTTTATAGCTTTAACCTTCCTCAGACATTCTATGTACATTGTCCCATCTTGACAGCACTGTGATATTCAAGTCAAGTTTTATGTCATTTTTCATATCTCTTTTTGCATACTAAGTTTCTTGTCAGAGAAGTGCTTGGAATATTAGACTTACCTTGGTAGACACCTGCATTTCCATAGCAGAAAATCTGAAAAAGTTTGTCTCAGCTAAAATATAAGAAAGTTACTTATTTAGAAGAGTTTCTAGAGGAGCTTCTGAAGTTAGATTATAAGCAACTTTAGTGTCCTCTTTGCAAAGGTTCCCAAATTCATTGGCCTTCAACTCCCTTTTAAG